AACATGAAGGTCAGAGCTGGCCGAGGGTTTTCACTTGAAGAACTGAAGGTATTGCCTTGTTTCTTTGACCCCCGCTGTCTTTGTTTTGCTTTATTATTGATTAGGACATGTCAGATAGCTTATAAAAATGTAGTGAGCATGATATTCATATAAGTTTTAGTTGCTAATAATTACCTTAGATTTGCACTAGTTTTGGTTGAGAATTTTCATATTGATGTAATCAGGAGAGACCGCTATCAGTTATTTCTGTTTACGTATGCTTTTCCTGCTCATGCTATGCTGAAAGCAACAACTCAGTTGTTGGCTGCATGCCGGTTCTCCGATAATGTAGTTTTGTTGACAATAGATGCTTGTTATTGATGGATATGTGCTTTTTCTACTGTAGGCTGCTGGTATTCCCAAGAAGCTTGCTCCAACCATTGGCATTTCTGTTGATCACCGCCGCAGGAACCGTTCTCTGGAAAGTCTTCAAGCTAATGTCCAGAGGCTGAAAACATACAAGGCCAAGCTCGTTGTGTTCCCAAGACGTGCACGCAAGGTCAAGGTAATACACAATATAATTAGCTGTTATATACATAACCATCATAACATTCATTTCTCGTACACATGCCCTTGTTAGAAGGCAAATAGAGTTCCCTGCTTGACATGTTTTTTGGACCTTCCCACTTTTCAGGCTGGTGATTCATCACCCGAGGAACTGGCAAATGCAACACAAGTCCAGGGTCCGTTCCTGCCAATTGTGAGGGAGAAGCCCTCAGTGGAGCTTGTTAAGGTTACCGATGATATGAAGGCATTCAAGGCTTATGAAAAGCTTCGTGTTGAGCGCACGAACAAGAGACACATTGGTGCCAGGCTGAAGAGGGCTGCTGAGGCAGAGAAGGAAGAAAAGAAGTGAAGTGCTGGTGAAGCTACCTAATATTCCCCGTGTAATCGTTAATCCTTGATATTTTTGTTCGAGTTTCAGTAGTCTTAAGAGCAAATTTTGTTCAGGATCTGTACCCTTTTACAAGTTATTTTCCGGATCGTTATTCTAGCTGCGTTAGCACAGTGGCTTGCATGAATATTTTGGGGTCAGTTTGGACCATAAATTTCAATTGCTTACCTTGAAAACCTTCCAATTTTCAATATTTCACTTAATTGTTTAAAAAAAACTAGTTAAATGAGTTATTTATATTAATTAGATATTATATTTTTTAGAATATTTTTATTAATTAAGTGTATTTGTTAGAATTATAATTTACAGATCTGTGATAAAAAAAAAAGTAAATATAAAAAATAAAGTGAATTAAAAATTTATATTTAAACTTAAAATAAAAGTCAACCTAGCATGAGAGAGGAAAGTTGTGCCGTTAAAGTTCCAGAAATCAGGATTCTTCCGACGTTTACGAGAGCTACAGCGGGATCCCAAATTTACGCCCGTTGCGTCTATATAAATGTAAAGCATCTTACTCTTAGGTTACGTTTGGTAGGAAATATTAAAAATGAGGGATTGGGATTACAATTACAATTGAGAAAATATATTAAAAAAGTGTTTAGTATAAAATATTGCTTGTTATATGGGATTAGCAAAACCCATATATTTGGGATTGGAAAATACTATAGGGGGAAGTGGTATTCCCCAATCTCACCTCTATAGGTTTGTTTAATCCCATATAATAAGTAATTACTCATACTAAATACTATTTTAATGATATTTTTTCAATTACAATCACAATCTCAATCCCTTATTTTCAATGCTTTGTACCAAACGGGACTTTAGTGTTGCGCTGGTCTGATGCTCAACTTGCCTGAGCATGGTCCTCGCCATTGCTGCTGCATCGGTTCTTGCGAACAACTTAGGCCATTTACTAATTACTAGGCCAAATTATCGCCAAAAGCGAAAAAGCATGTATCCGTAACTTGTTCTCATCGTCCCCTTAAAACCAAGTAAAAAGAGTTGGCGGAAAAAAAAAAATTGTAAACACAGGCGAGATGCGTGGCTGTATAACATGGGGCATACATTTTTCGAAAGAGTGCTTTTTGAAAAATGCAGTTCTATGTAGTTTTTCTGTTTTATATTAATCTTGATATTGACTGATATAATTTTTTTTTTCAGAAAATAAAATTTAAGTGTAAATATAAAATAATCAAAATCATGCATGGGCACTCGCGCTTATTTACATGCACGTTTACATATTTTCCGAGAATCCGAATCTAGGAGCTATGTACGTATGCTACATTGAAACATTCAATGGGCTCTTAAGACATTAACCAATCTCACTCAAATTTAAGCAACTTTTATAATTAAGATGGCTGCAAGAGACTTTTATAATTAATTAAAATTTATTAACCCAAATTAATTAAAAGCAAGCAAACAAATAAATAAATCGCTCTTGTTTAAGAGGAGGAACCAGATAGTTGCTAAATCAACACCCAGGCGGCTCTGGACGTAGCGCTTAGTGTTGTTGTGTAGAAGAAGCCAGAAGCAGATCTGTGTGCGGATCAATCTCAGAAAACCATAATGGGTTTGAAGGTAAACATTGATTCCATGTTTTCTTGCGAAGTTACATAATCAATCTCATGTCCACTTTCTATCAATCTAATCTTCTCCAATTTATTTTACCACAAGCTAATGATGTCAGATCCGGTTGTCTGTTTCCTAGGTTTTCAGATTAATTTCGTGATATTGATGTGTTCACGTTATTTACTATGTTAAATGGGACAGTACTGTTTTAAAATGTAGGTCGAATAAGCATATAACACATTTACAATGCTCAAAATAAACAGCAAAAAATCTTTGATAAGATAAGGTTGGAAATGAACAAGCCGAGCTTGGGATAATACATTCCAGAGAACAAAATGGGGTTTTAGGATCTGAAAACTATAGGATACAGGGTTCAAATTAATAGTTTATATGATGATTTTTAGTGAAATTGTTTTGTTGAATGCTGAGATATAAAGCTCCAAAAAGAAAGACTTATTGATGAAGGGAAATTCTTTATAGTTCCGGCCTTCCCTGATCTTGGTTATACAAAAGATTTAAAATTAAGGAACAGGGGAGTAAACTTTTGATCTGATTCACATATTGTATATTTTTTTTTAAGTCACTAAAATACTTGCACTATTATTATTGTCCTTTCATAAAGTTTGTCTTTGTGGTATTAAATCTGTACTGGAGTTGACCTCAGAGTTAATTTTCATATCAAGATCAGGTTTATAACACCAAAGATCTAGATAAACAATGTTTATAAAGTTATATATTTGAGATAGAAATGAGATTGAAGGGTTGTGTCTTAATGAAAAATGAAGGAGGAATTTGAGAAGTACGCAGAGAAATCCAAGATTTTGCCAGAAAGTACATCGAATGAGAACAAACTCATTCTCTATGGACTGTACAAGAGAGCCACTGCTGGACCTGTCAACACCAGTGAGTTTCTCTTGTTTCCTCATTTCCTTTAGCTCTTCAATTCTCTCTTATATGGCTGCAGAATTCTGTTTTAAAAAAATTCAGAATTTATCTGTGACAATTCAGTTTTTGTCACTTGGAAAAATCTTTCAGTATTTGGCTAAGATCTTGTTGGTATAATGACATGCGATACAAAGCCTATATTTTCTCATCATACTCCTTCGGTTTAGTTAATGTTAGTTCTATATGTAAAATCTATTTTATATGTTTATCAATTTTAGTTAATTGGGGAGTATTATTAGCTAATTTAACTAACATATTTACTCTATTCAAATTAGTTAATTAGGTTTTATATTAAGAACTAAAGTATTTATTTTTAGTTATTTCCTCTATCTAAGTTACTGAAATTTTCTCTTCTTGTGTATGATTTTCAGGCCGCCCAGGAATGCTCAACATGAAGGATAGAGCCAAGTGGGATGCTTGGAAGGCTGTTGAAGGTAAAATCCAATCGCTTTGGTAATTCTCGGGACGCAGGAGTGCTTATTTGCATCAATTTATTAAAAACCATTAAAATCTTTCCAAAGGGAAAAAAAATTTTAGTGAGGTCTCACATGTTTCATATCTATCTGTTCTTGAAACTGATAAATTCAAGCCTCGAGGTAAAAAGGAGAAAAAACACTTGATTCACTGTGTTTTGTGGTAATCAATACTCCTTCGATGCTTAATATAAGATCTATTAAACTAATTTGACTAGATTAAGAAAGCTAGGTAAGTTAGTTAATTATAAAAAAAATATGATATATTTTTCCTAAAATATTATGATCATCTTCCTCAATATTCTCTCTTCTTCTTTTACTTGATTATGATTGAGTGAGATCCATAAGGGATAATTTAGAAAAAATTAATAAATATAAGAAACAGATCTTATAAAATCAACTCAATAACTATATCCTATATTAAGAACCGAAAGAGTATCAATATTATGATAATATTAATTAAATATGATATAAATTATGAAAATATATAGTTGGCAAAAACTATATGAAAATATATAAGTTTCATGGCTCTTGAGTTATAAGTCGTACAATTATTCTTCTTCTTCTTTCAATAAATTTTGTGTAAAATATAGGATCCATGTAGTTTATGACATATAATGAGAAATAAAATCTGATTATGGCAGGGAAATCAGAGGAAGAAGCTATGAGTGACTACATTACAAAGGTGAAACAGCTCATGGAAGAAGCAGGCATTGCTATCTGAAAACATTTTCATCTTTCTTCGTTTTGTTTTTGCTCATTCTTATGCTACAAAATTCTCAGGATATTGAAAATAAACACTTAGTAATGTTTATTCTCATACTATCATTAATGTCTAATTTGTTTGCAATGAATCAGAAATTATCTTAAAATAGAGTGGAATTAATTATTTTATGCATGCATACATCACCGTTAATAATTGAACTCAAGGGAGGACCAGCGTGGAAATAGCTTCAGTAATGTGATTTCTGATTTGTGAGGCTTGATAATTGAGAGTAATAGAAGGATACAGTGGGGAAAGAGAAAGCATTACTCCACCATGGACATTAAATCCTTTATAGCCATAATACTTTGGGATTCTATTGAATAAAAGGATATCTAGAAACGTAATACTCTCTGACACCAGAAGCACCATCCCTTGCCAGAATCCCTTCAAGATCTCCAATAATTCTGGCCAGCCATATCTCCAAATTCCTCTGGATCTCTTTCATGTTGTTCCTACTTGAATCCATGGCCCTTCTTGCGGCCACTGTGTCATAACTCTTCCCAGTTTCAGTTTGCAGAGCCATCAGCTTTTGCCCTGTTTCGGATGCCCGCTGTTGCAGCCGGAATGCCTCAAGTAAAAACTCCGTTTGTTTTTGCGTTTGAAGTTCTGAACTCAGTGCAGTTTCATAAGGATTGCTTGCCTGCTGCTGAAAAAAAAAAAAAAAAATCCTGCTGAGCTCATAATATGAACTATAAAGTGAAACCTAATAAAAGAATTAAACTTGCAAAGGACTTTGAACAAAAGATTAACGTGAGCTAGCTGCACTCAGATAGTCA